ATATAATATTATATTATATAAAAAGAACACTCCGCCAAACTCCTAGTAAAAAAACGCAAAGTACCTATAAAAAAACCGCTTTAAAAGTTGCGATATCATTTTATAGCTAAGTATAAATATAATTTATGTTAAAATAGTCTGCTAAATAATTTAACTTTGCTTGGCGACTTTATAATACTTATTAAGTAATACACTACCTATTTCAATAATACTAGACAGTAGGTTATATTATTATGTAATCATTAGGCTATACTGCTATAGTATTTTTAAATTTTAACTTAAGTCGCCAAGTTAAATTAAATTATTTATCAGACTTTTTATCAAAAATGATATATATACTTCAAAGTTTTAGAGTCGTTTTTTTATATAAGTATCTAGTTAGAGTTTTTTTTTTCATTGGATTTTTGGATTTTGTGGAGTGTCTTTGTTGGGATATCATTCACTTTTGTTTATACCTATTATTTTTGTTTACAATTATATTTTTTTATTTTTATTTTTTAAATTATATTTTAAAATAAGTTTATATGTTTATAAATGCTGGTGCCTGGTTCAGATATAATGAATTAGTATTTTGTTCATTGGTTGAAATTGGAAAAATGGACTGCAATGCAGTCTGCAGGGAACATTTTTTAATCTTATATAGTTTTATCTTATATATAAAAATCTCGTGTCACGTCTTTGTCCGGGATAAACTCCGAAACTACTGGATCGATCTTAATGAAATTTTTACAAGTGTGTAATTTGGCCGAACTTAAAAGATAGGATAATTTAAAAAGGGAGAGGACCAACTCCGAGAGGTGTTAAAACATGAATTTTTATATTTCAGATGGACATTTTTGTTTATAAATGGTTGCCATGAGTGACGTTGTATAAAATGATTCGTTCTAGAAATTTCAATACAGAATATTTTTTAAACAGAACGGGGTCCGCAATCTACGTAGATTGCTTTCTTGATAATGTACTGCTGCGAATCAGGATTTTTATTCGGGGCAAAGGAAAAGTTAACATAAATTTTGAACACCATGTACCGAATATTAAATAACGAATTGAACGAAGTTTGAGTCATATAACATTTAACATTTATCACATTTAACGGTCAACGAAGTGCACGGGATCAGCTAGTAAAATTCTAAAAATATACTACAATTATTTCTAGTTGAACTGGTTTTAACTGTAATATTGTGTGTGTGTTTTACCTATGTGTGCATATTTTTAAGACGCAGTAAAGCAATTAAGTACATAGCTTTTATCGCGGGGCTGGCGTGGTTACTGAAAAAAAATATTTCATAACACAAAATGTGACCGAAGATGTTATTATTAATTTTGTTATTTAGAGTCTAACCAGTTGTTAAGCAAAAATAGTCTCAAATAAAATATTTCCGTACGGTGTTTATCTACCATTATCAACAAAAAAGCAACTCATTTTGTCATTTTATTTTCGGTTCTTTTCGCTCAAAATGTGTAACTCGGATTATTATCTTACAAAAATAAATAGTTTTAATTAGGGATTAAAATTTTCGAAAAAAACCCCAGGTTTTTCCCGTTTTTTTTCGGAGAGTGGGAAATTTGGTTTCATTTAAAATGTTCATGAAAAAATGGTTTTTTCTAAATAACCGTAAATTTATCAATATTCAATAGTTGAAACAATCTAATAAAATATAATGAAAGTTGAAAATCATATTACATAGGTACATATTATATGTACTATACCTAACTTAAAGTCTGTAGTGGATAAATCTAGAGGATTCTATACTTGATTTATAAATAATTATAATTTGTAACATTAACTAATAAAGTACTTACTATTTACTATATAGTTATTTTTTACTAGTTATTAATATTATTTAATTTTTAAATATCCATATATGAATATTTTTAGTAGTTCAATTTTAAATTTTGATACAATAATACGCATTGACAATGACAGGTTTACATATCTATTTTTTGAAATTGTTTTTTTTTCATTGATTATTTTAATTTTTTAATTTTTAAGTGTTAATATAATTTTTTAATTTTCCAAAACTTCGGTTTTTTTGGAAATGTATTATTTTAATATTCTCCAATTTTTCCACTTTTCTGAGGCTCTGGGAAAAAACGGTTTTTTCAGAAATTTTCCCCCAATTTTTCCGGAAATTTTTAGGCATTTTGATCCCTAGTTGTTATAAATACATGATACATAGCTACCAAATAGCTTTACCACGGTTTTCCCAGAGTGCCTGAGACTTTTTAATATATCTTTTTACACTTAGAGAGACCCTGCCGGATCGTTGGATATATATTATTTAATAATAATAACAACGCCATGAAAGCGAACTCGGAGTATAACATTATTTATAATATTTTAGTATATTATGTGGAAGTAAATATGTCAATCGTTTCGCATCAAGAGATCATGTTTGATGTTTTACATTATTCTCGTGAACTATGTCTATATGTGTACATGAACGACAGCTGTATTCGTAATGATATATGTATATGTACTATTGTACTATATATATTATACTATCCTGAACTACATAATATATACACTTAAGCAGCACAGCTCACAACATGATCAAACGCAATATTGTTATTTGCATACAGGACATTTTAGGTAGAGGTAGGTCGGTCGATCGTCATATTGCACTAAAATGTATGATACTGGTATATATTACCAGTTTCACAACTGGTACTCACGTAACTATTTAATAAGTTTAGATACATACGGGGTGCTGTGACTTAGGGGAATCCCGTAAAATGATGTTTGCTTTTAAGAAAAATTATTTTTAACTGAATGTTTTAAAATGCATGTCTACAAAATATAATAAAAAAAAAAAATAAAAAAGTCGCTCTGCTGTACAGTAGGTTACAAGTGGGTCACTGTAATGGATGGTGTTAAATTTGAATTCAATGATATATCATTGTATAAGAAAAACGATTCTGAGCGAAAATGGTCAGTCAGCCTATGATATTACATACTATCATCGCTGTGCTATCAGAATCTAAAGAAATATTAAAAAGAAAATAATTTTTTGATCGGAAATTTTAAATATCGACTACTCAACTACCTTCCACTTTTTAACTATAGCTTATGAATGTTAACGATGGCCTGTTTAATGTGCAATACTAACCGAATGTTATGTGTAGGTATTAATTTCGTTAATAATCAATAATAATTATTTTGAAACTGCGGCAGATAATAAACTACTTTTTATGGGTTATCTATATATACGTAACTACGCAAGTATACAGTATTACAGACTACAGTTAGATGTTTAACGATTTCACGCAGCTACTTTAATTTAAACTGTACTCACAAAACGCTTTAAAAGTATTCAACAATTTTGTTCGGAAGTTGGGGAACAACAGAATGGGGGTTTAAATAACTATATCGACTTATCTTGGAGTCAATGTTAATAAAATGTTTATTATATTCCACTTCTAATTAGTTTTCTTTTATTTAATACTTCGAGAAACAAACAATTATTTATCGGGTTTCCGAAGTTACAATAGTAAAATTTGCGTTGTTCTTAAAATAAAAAAACATGATTATACACATGTATATTTGTACTGAGTTTCGATAGTGTAATTTATTATAATGGTTCGATTTTTTATGTTCAGCGTTTATATATACTCGCGATTATAACATTGTAGGTATAGCCGTCTGTTTAATTTGAAATGCTGACCTTATTGTTATATTCACAATGACGAATAATAAATACAAATTGTATAGAAATAGTTTTACGTCAATAGACAACAAACAAGAATGACAATTTTACAATTTTACAATCTAAAATTGTATTATAGTTTATAGTAGTTTGAAGTAAAGTTGAATGAGGTGAGGTTCAGTATTATAATTTATAATACATGAAGTTGGAGTTTGTTTTGGTATTTGTGTGTAAAATTCTCAACATGGTAATAGCAAACTTTTACCGAATTCCCCGAACCTTTTGTTATTCTATTATATTATATTATTCTATATAGGTGTGGTAACATATTATAATAATATATTAATATGTAAGATGAGAATATATTTTATTCTTGTTTACTGCTGGGAACCTTTTTTAGTAATGTCAACTTTTATAAATAGTTTTAAATTGAAACTGTTTGAAGACAAGTTAATAAAACAACAATATACTTTCATTACGCAATTTTTTTTTGTTTAGTGGTTACCTTAAGCGTATTTAGAAATGTTTTATGGATGGGGGTGGGTGGCACAAACAAAAAATTAAAATTATACTCATAATATTTATGTTATAACTCGTATTTTCCATCTCAAAATAATGTCATAATTTATAACCAAATTACGATAAATTTATAATTCCATTTACCACCCTTAAATAGGTCTCTGCAGGTGGTGACTGGTGAATGTCAACTCCGAATCATGGTCATGCTCGATTATAATATAAGTTAAATCATATAATATTCAGCACAGTCGACTATTAATACGAATTACTATTTACGAATCATCGGGCCGATGTGTGGACGAATAATCATGATCTAGGCCATGGGTTGGATTGGAACAGTTAGTAGAACAACATAGTAGAACAGTCATCGGTGAAGCCGGTATTTCCCCTAGACACCGCGACACTAGATAACCCGACCCAGAAAATAACAAGCGACATGGACCTAATAACCAGCTCGTTAACTAACAGAATTTTTAAGCCCATGTAAATTTCGTTCAACAATGGTCCCTATCCCCCATTTGGTACGCCTTTGTATTGACATACTATATCAAAGTTAATACCTATGATGGCTTTTTTATGATATTCAAATTTTTACTCAAGTTACTAGTAGGTATATATTATAAATTGAAAACGTTCTTATGAATCGTAAAAAATTATTTAAAAAATTCAACGCACAAACACAGATAATATTCTTAGTGTGATAGTAAGTTAGTGGTTCTGCTGAACGCGAATTCACCATGATCCTGCACGTGCAGGATCAGAGAGGAAAAAAAAATTGTTTGGAATTATCACGAATTTTTCAGTGGTACTTCATGATCAAAAAGTCATTACTGGTCATTTCTGCAAAAACACCACTTTAGCCGGGCAGCCTTCCTTCCGGTCGGTCCAGACTTCCAGGGCTCGTATGGCAGTAGCGGCTGCGGGTGACATCGCATGTCTGACCGTAAACCACAGCCTCTTTAGTTCGGGACTCGGCATCGTCTTCCACACCTTGAACTCTATTGAACAATCCACTTCCGGTCCGCAAAAGGCGTCGGAAACGATGGACATCCTGAAGGTACCAGCACATCCAGGCGATGTCTCAAGACCATACCTCTCGCTACACTGCTGAACCTCAGCACCGCGGGCTTTTGAGCTTCCTGTATCCGCTTCCGAGTTTTGGTCAGTATCGTATGGATCTTCGACTCCTCTGCAGGCCGCTCCTGCAGTTTATAATATAAAGGCGACGGTGGTATAATAATTATATAATTAGCATCGACATATGTTTCGACTAAGTCGTATACGAGTCATATACCTACCTACCTACCACCTTATGGCGGGTTTTGTACGGACGAGTGAGATTAATTAATATTTAACTTTTTCGAAACTTGTTGTGTTATAATATAAATTAAATTATATTATATACAGATAATATAAAATATGTGTGGCGTCTCCGAAAAAGTACGAATCGGAAACGTCGACTGCGCTTACAAATATGCTCTCGACTCGCGATGCTGCCGGTGGGCGCCGTTATTTATTTCGTGTTTTAAACAACGGACCGAAACGAAATAAATGTTAAACTATTATAAGTAGTGTTTTCGAAGGAAAATGTAATATTATAGTATACCCAAGCATGATGTACAATATTTATAAAGCATATTATAATTTACAATATTGTTTTATAGAATCATTTTAATTTCGCGATCGTTTTATAATTGAACAGTCGACACTCGACAGCCAGCTGCGCATACTTGTACTACTTACGCACAGTAATATTTCAACGAGACTTATGTTTACACTATTGAATATATATTATTTACAACGTCCGACGAAAAGTTTTGTCCCGGAAATATCGTTTTAATGGCTCGTGGATTTTCATCCGGATGATATTATAATAATCAGTGCTCGAGAAAAACTTTTTATTAAGTTATTTCCGCGGACGTTTAAACAATTTGGTCTTTTTAGAAACTTTTAATCGTCTCTTGATAATGATATATATCCGCACGGGATGTGGCTGTTCTACGGTTATGTTGGGGAGAAGCGTGTTTTTGATATCTGCAGCGGTGATAGTACAAATTCATATTTAAAATTTAAATACGGTTTTATATGAACGACAACGAATATATTATTTTATAATATACGCGCCGACTGCCAACACGCATTTGTCAAGACAGTGCTCGGACGTTCGGTTGTAAAAATTGAACGAAAAAATGTGGAAAAAAGTTTCATTGCATATTATAATACGCGATCGAGTTTTCAAAAACTGCAGACCGGAATGACCCTTTTTTCCATCGAAATAGCACCGGTAATAAAATATAAATAGTGTCGGAAGGGCAGAACGACTATATGCGGCATCTAAATCACGTCATACCAAGTCAGAAAACCGAGTGCGATAATAGATTTCAAAAGTCACTTAAGTATACTATATATACCTATATATGACACACCTTTATTTTTGGAAAAACCAATATAACTCCAGAAAAATATATCACCGAATAAAGCTGCAGGCTGAAGCGTACATAATATATAATATGACGATATCGGCAATTTTGTTTACTTTTCCGTAATATTAGCAAGTATAGTTATTTTCATAGCGTGAGATCAGAAATATTAAGCGGAGTAGAGTCAATTTCGAGTAAAGTAAGAAAAGTCGAAAAAACCTACATTGCACCTCCATACGACGATGACGTCGGTCCACAGCAGGTACCTATCAGTATAAAAAGTGTAAAGATCCATAATAATATGTACAAATTAGTTTTGAAAACTGTGTAATTCAAGCCAATACAGTTGTTAGTGTGAATTTCATGTGCACATAATATTAGATGCAACCGCAACACTAGCTGCTACTAAACTATAGTAAATTACTGAGTACAGCTTTAAATGGCGTAAGTGAAGTAGTTTATTCAAAACCTAAGAAAATAATAATAATAATAATAATAATAATAGATAATAGGTAATGAAATACTGAACATTATAATATAGACGAGACCGGAAATCTTTGCCGGAACGATAATAATAATGCTCTGATAGTCATACCAATATATACGTAATATTATTATGACGATGGACACAAAATAATCGCAAGACGCATTGTTCACTTAACTACGTTAAATATATTTATAATAGGACATTCGGACGTAAAATGATAATATAATTATTATAATTATAACAGTTTGCAGAGTGCAATATAATTATTGATTTGCCGTCCACGAGTGCGATGATGCTGCGTGTAAGTACTACCCGTTCGCTAGTAGCTATAGTATTGCCGTATAAATGTATAATACAAATTGGTTAATGTTTCGCCATTATATGGTCTACTGCAGTAGGTCGTTTGCTTAAAATTCAGTGCTCTATGTAAAATATGAAAAACGGTCGTTGAACGCATATTATTATCCAATAGATACTACGATAGGACGCTATTTTATTAGCAAAGGAACTACAGGTGATAGATCGATATTATTAATGTAATTTGTACATCTAGTTTTTCCTAGACGATCGTCTGACGGACGAGATAGAAAACGGGCAAGTACTTCCAGGGAAGACGTGGATCGCGTACGATTTCGGTTCCGAAAAGTGAGAAGAAAAAAGTCGTTCGAGTCGGTATAGTAAGTAGTACCTATACTTATGTCCAATGCAGATTGACGGGACATCGTCGTCGGAACTCTGCAGCGACGTCTGTTCGCGTTAACCAATAGTAATAATATCGTCATGTTGTTTTGTTATTATATTATTATTATTACTGTTATTAGCATAGTGAAATAAGAGACTAGCTCATAATAATGTAAATACGATATTTACCTCGACAATAATTTAACCGTAATTTTCCATAAACTTTATACGAAGCAAAACATTTTAAAAACTTCCATCTCCTGCCGTTTCTAAAACTAAATAAGGTTTCCTCAAGTCTGTGATTTTTCCCATCCCATACCAAAAAACCGTTTTATAAAGAAAAATATTTAAAACAATGAACAATGTAAGAATTTGTTTTGAAAGTTGTACAGCAAAAAATTTAAAACAATATCGCGAACGTTGTTTCAAATGTATATCTTCCGTAGCATATTATAATATTGTATAATGACATAAATACCCCAAAGGCCTTTAAGAACGTATGTATGTAAATATGTAATTAACTTATCAGAAATATGAGAAAAAATACTGCGATGACGAGTAACACATAGTAAATTATATTATAGGTATTTACCTAGATCGCGGTATGACCACAATATTAATATAGTATAATAATATAATATAAATTATATCATAATACATTTATAACTCGCCGTATATCACAATATTATATTCACATATAAACGTGTACCTATACCTACTATAATATAATACAATGTTATCACTACTCGACGAAGGACAATAAATCAAGATGATTATTGTGTTCTCTCGCGGTTTATGCTGTGTCCTACGTGAATAAGACAAATGCGACGAAAAATAAAACAGTTTGTATTTCGTCGCATCGGTCGCATCGTATTGCGATAGAACAGCATGATTATGACGGGATTAGATAGTACGGTTAAGGTACAATTTTAAATATAAAAAATATTTTGGAATACATCCTAACTACCTATAATAAATTGGTAAGCCATCATCGAATACCTATATTATCAAATTCCATTTTTTCTTCATTTTAGTCGACTTATAGAATTTATCAGTTCAAACTATTTTTCTAACCGAATTAGTCCAACTAATATAGGAACAAAAACTACAGAAAATCTGTCATGTTTCTCGGTACTAGAAAATGTCAAGTTTTCCAGGGGTGTTGACCAGTTACCCCCCAACCGAATGTACCAGTTGCTTTTACATGATAATATATAGTATATAGTATATACTATATACACGATTACAATATATAGTCCGTAAAATAGGGGAGGTAAATATACAAATAATAAATAATATTATTTATAATAGTATAAAATGATAGATACAAATTCATATGATTGGAATATATACCTAATATTGTATTTTGTAATAAATAATAATTACTAATAAAATAAATTGAATACAATAGTCAATAAAATAATAAATATTTTAATTATGTGACATTCAATGTTATAATTTTTCAAAAAAAAAATAGTAAGAATAAAATGGTAGCAAAAATTCTTAATAAATAATATTATTATAATGAAAGGCGGCATATTCAATGTGATAATTCGTCAAAAAAAAAAAAAAAAATAGTAAAAAAATTGGATATAATATTATGTACTATGTTTTGTTATAATAATTACTATATTTATAATTATTATTTATATATTTACCTCCCCTATTTTTGGCATATATATTGTAATCGTATATATATTTACATAATAATTATTATGAGGGCAACTGGTACATTTTGCTCAAGGTAGTTTGGCGGGAATTGGTATAAAAAAAGGTACTTTTGGGGGCAACTGGTACATGCCCGTTTTCCAGTCCCATATAGAAGTAGGTACTAAATATGAGATTACTAGTCAAGTCCGTCGACGCTATGGAGCGGTGTATGGTCGGTCTAGCAGAGGTCTGCTTCGTTAAGGCTCCATTGTCGTACTTCTGCGACTTATATATTTTGTCGTCATCAAGCCACTGTATCCGCCGTACACATCTTCTGCTGTGGTTCGCCACTTTGATCGACGACCGCGAGGAAGCCATAGAGGTGGTGGGGGTTACTAGGTCATTGGTGCGGTCACCCCTCAACTGAATGCCACTCATTTCTTGTGCGCGGATAGCTAAAACTTCCAATAGTATATTATGACGATATTGTGACCAAAATAATTAGAAATTACGAATATTATGATGGTTATAAGAACATGAAATAACGCGACGCACTGTGACCGGGACAGGTTGCTCGCGTTGTCGTGGATACGTCATCGTAACCATCGTCTGAAAGGAATATAGATAGGTACTATAGGTAATAATAATATAATTAGGTAGGTATAATTTATAAACAGATGTTTACTATAGAAGTGATCCAAAACGTAAGGTAATTGCAGTAGAAATTATCGAACAATTTGAAGCATCAAAAATATTATGTACCTATACAGGCTGCGAGATGTACCATATTATTAAAAGGATACTGTAGGGCATAAAAGATCTAAAACGGATGACTAGATATCTCACATTGCAAATTCACGATTTCACCACAGTTGTTTAAAAGTATAAATTCGAAAGTATATACCTACCAATATTTTAATAAGACATGTAAAATTCGTTACGACTTACATAGTGCGTATAGAAACCTTTTAGCCATCATAGTGGTCGCAGAACTTCTATATATTATACGTCATATTATTTGTTATCTTTATATACCTAATATATAATTCTACTGTACGTGTTGTGACTGAACTCCTACTAGACGGTTGGACCGATTTGAATTAATTTTTTTGTATGCATTTGAGTGACGCCCAGGATAATTTAGATTCACAAATCATCCAAGTATCCAACTATATCCAACCAGGGGACGTGCTCAAACGGGGATTTCGAGATTTACGGAGGAAATTTTTGTTTATAAATGGTTGCCATGGGTTATAAAGCTATTATAATAATAATTATTTGTTTGAAATCAGTGTATTTATTCAATGCATTTAATTTTTTTGTACGCTGTGTTTTGTATCTTAACTACTTAAATATTGAGCGTATTATACTCACATATAAGTTACATACATAAAACAATGCCACGTTTTCGTGGATGAGGAGGAAATATTGGACGACAGACTCGGCATTCAAATTTAGTTCAGCCGTTTAGGAGGAGTTCAGTGACATACTTGGTATAACTTTGATACTTAAGAGTTAAATTATAAAGTTACGTTCAAACAGCACGGGGTATTCGATCTACCGCAGGTAGATCGCCTACCTGATAATATACTGCTGCGAATCAGAACTTTTATCCCAGGCAACGAGGCAACAGAAGAGTTAAGATAAATTTTGAAAACTATACACCGAATATTAAATACCGAATTGAACCAAGTTTGAGTCATATAGAGTTGGTACGTTTAACGGTAAACGAAGTGCACGGGATCAGCTAGTATAATATGTAGGTATATATAATTTAACGCATCTAACTTTGTTAATATAACAGACATTTGCATATTATAAGACCTATGAATGTTTACTGTAAAATGACTTTATACCTATTGTTGATTTTGGTAGTCAAACGCTTCGACGTAAGAGATCAGAGAGGACCATAATCGATTTTACTCTCATTGAATTTTATACACAGAGACTAATTGACATATCAAGCGTATAGCCAATAACTAAGTTTCTAATAAATAAATTACGAATTTTATATATTATGGTATACCTTTTCCCGCAATTCATTAAGTATGTAACGATGAGATATTATATTATGCCCGTGAAAGGTTGTCGCAAAGTTTTTAGTCAATGTGACGTAATTACATGTTATTTAGACTTTAGAGGTTGTATACTTGTATAAATTGTTTAAAAAAAACAATATGCTGGAAAAACCGTAATTAATCGTAGAAAATTATAGTTAAAAATATAAAATTCTGTTAAGGAGAAAGTCGGAGTGGTGTATAAAGTTCAATAAACCGTGGTAAATACGTCAATCGCAAGACCGGATGAAAAAAAAAAAGTTAAAAAAAAAAGGTCAATAGTCATTATCGTGTTTAATGACCATCGGGCGTCATCATAATCGTCGTCATCGTCGTCATCGTCGTCGTCATCATAAGTCTATAAGTACCGCTATCCGTCAAGATCTCGGGGGTTATAAGACATATAAAGACAATAAACAATATAAAGGTCATACACGACAGACGATGTCGTCGCCGATCTAAAAATGATTTCGTGGCCAGCTAGGATACGAAATGCACAGTCTCTTCTTTCTTTGAAATACGATCTTCTATATTGTATACAATATATTATATGTTATAATATTTATACTACGTTGGTCGCATAATATATAGACATAAGACGTCAAACACAAACGTTAACTACGACTGCTGATGGGGTTGAAGTCTCCTGACCACGCAGCTATGTATAGTGCGAGTAAATATCGTTGTATTAATGCGGTATATATGTATATATTATATTGTGTAAACACGAGAGAAGTTTTTGGGGTAACGACCGAGTATAATATAGTGTACAGGTTATAATGGTAAACCAAGATGCGCGCAAGTCTTTCATCCCACACTGCGTAGTATACGCTTAAATATAATATTATAATATATGTATATAAATCGACTAGACGCCGTCTTTATATTATATTATACTCATAGTAATAATGGTTCAACGGCGTGGGGCGAAGTCACGATCGTTTTTTTTTCAATGCGATGCATTAAGTATCTACAGATATTATATTACTTATTAGATTACTATAATATACACTCGATACGGGCATTGACTTTACGGGTATTTTTTATTTTTTTGAGCCGTGCGGTATGCAATTATTTAATTTAATTGGCCGATGGCATAGGTTAAAACAATCGTGATAACTGTTTTTAGTGCACGTTTAATGTTTATATATATTATGTGTGTGTGCGCGCGCGTGTGTGTATATTTCCTGGTGTAAATACGAAAAAAAAAACTATGTTTTTAGTCTTCTTCAAATTCTTGTAATATAGGACGTTTTATTTTCGCGAAACATCGGGTGTGATAATACCCATCATTCTTAATGTATGTTATGTATATATAATTATTATTATATCATACATTACCGAATCCATGTCCAAAGTCCAAAGACATTCTTTAAAGCAGCTATAAAATCTAAGTAATCTGCGGATTCAACTTAATATATTAATAGACCAATATGCATTATTAAATCGATCTGAGTCTATAAATGGCTGTAAGCCTGTAAAATAAAGGTAAAGGTTAGGTAGGTACGCCATAAGTATAAATCAGGTATTAGGTACAATATAATATTATTACAGTCTTATAAAATATGTTTGATAGAAAATCTCAGTAAGTTTTATAGTTATTTTAAATTGATATTCCATGTCTAAAGACATTCCTTGACATATTATATAGAATCTAAGTACTCTGTGGAGTCATCGTATATCGATAGAACAATATGTATGATGGGTGAGGCGATAAATTACTGTAAACTTGTAGCCTCTAAAGTCTAAATAAAAGCTAGGTTAGGTTAAGTACGTCGTACGTAGTTATTAGTAATAAGTAATAACTATAATAACTGTAATAACTTATTACAATATGTTACAGTCTTGTAAATGTTTGGTAGTAAACCTCAATAAGTTTTATAGTTATTGAAAGTTGATGTTACAAGTTAGACTTACCACAACGCTTATAGGTTTGAGCACTTTGAGCACCATTGGTTGACCATGGTAGTCGGTAGACGTTTTGAATGAAATAATATTTACATATTTAAATGTAAAGTAAAATTGATGAATAAGATTGATAATATTACACAACGATTACAAGAGTAATTATTATTAGTAAAGTCAATAGCCACCTCTGAACATTTGACAGCATTTCTAAAATAATATTGTTCTATGGTCACGTCCTATATAGCACAACTATATTACACACATTATTTCATTGATAAATTAATTCATTGAAAAATACTTTACACAATTGTATAATATGGATGAATAGCTCTCCCTCCAACAACGTGCTTGGATTAGAATAGCATATTATTATATAAGTATAATTAATATAAGTACAATCCATATTATATACTATAATTGCACTGCTATATGGGTAATTACAGTATTATATTACTACATTCTGTACCCACGTCATGTACTGGGAACAATGCGAACTCAGACAATGATAATATTTCGTCTAATATAATAATTACTATTATTTTTATTTATTTCCTATTTCCGACGCTCTTTTATAGTTTCAACAAAATAATAATAATATGATGTTTCCGACAAAAGTAGACGTTTTCGTCGTCATGATAAAAAATAATAATAATACGGTCCAGCGGATCAATAATTATATATTATTCGCGTACAACATTGCACAGTGACCTATACAGCCAGAAAGCATATTATACTATTTATACGAAGCGTATATGGTTTACGGTAGTTCGCGTGGTCTACTTAAGAGTATTGTTGCTCTCTCTATTACTTAGTGTATGGTTTGATTCTCACGTTAATTCACAAATAATATTATGAATTTCATCGCGTCAGAATTTATTGTTGTTGTGAATGTGTATTTTTTTTTTATTAATTCGCGTATTTCTGCACCTGCTGTGATGTCTGCATAGGATATATTTTGCTGAAAAATGTTGCAGCTATAATATTATACGCGACCTATACTACCTCGAATATTGGAATGCTTTCGAATAATATTATGTTTTTAAGTCGAGGAGCTCAGAAACCCGAAAGAATAATACCTAATAAATACGATGATGTAAACGTGAAATAGAATTAAAATCAAAACTTTCTGCCAGTGTCTTACCAACATTTATAGAAGTCAAAATATTAATATAGTATACTTTAATACAGGATCGAAATATTCGTAAAATGACATCAAGACGAACCCCAATTATTGTTCTAAGGAGAGGTTTGGATGTGTGTTTGGCCTGCCCCCCTCACCAATGGAAAATCCGTAAACGAATTGCGCAGATATTTAGCACTCAATTAGCACGAATTCGTAAGCCTACTTTTAAAATTCGAACGACCCTAGGGAACTACTTCCCCCCCCCCCCAAAAAAAAAAATTCATGCAGGGATCAGCAACCCCGGAACAGCCCCCTCAATTTTTTTCAGATGTTTAACATACGCAATTCGT